GATTAATGTTTTATGAAAAAAATTGAAAAAAAAATTGTTCGGGTGGGCTTTTTTTTTTTTTTTTTTTTTTTGGGGGGGGGGCTTCTTTTTTTATTTAATTAAAAACAAATAGGCTAGTTCAAATTTCCCATATGCTTTAAAAAATTAAATAAGACATACACAAAGCTGAATTATAAAACGAGTTTCTAACATTTGATAAAATAAGATAAATGTCAATTACCTGTTTCTGTTATTTTTTATTTTTTTTATTTTTATGATTTCAGTTAATTCCGGCGGTTTTGGAAACCACGCCCCGACTGATTTCGACGATGGATTTTTGCGGAGGAAGCAACGCAGAAACAGAACAACATTCACCTTACAACAGGTAATAACTGTGTTTCTTTTTTTTTCAGCAGCCAAATATGAGGACAAAACCACGATAGAGTGGACGGCTATTGGGCAAATACGAGCGGAGAAAAAAATCACTGCGACGCAAAAATCGATGACAAGTTGGCAAAGTTTTAAAACTGGAGTTTTACCCTTGACATTAATAAAGTTGAGGGTCTTTCTCCGGTTCAAAGCCAATCAGATAAAAACAAACACGGTTTTTTTGTCTCTTTGGTATTGTATATTTAGTTTTAGATTGATCGATAAAGTAGAAGGTTTAAAAGTTTGAGTTTTTCCTTCTCAAAGAAAGAAGGAAGGAAAGAAGGAAAGAAAGAGAGAGAGAGAGAGAGAAACATAATGGACATTCAATTAGTTGTACAAAATTGAACTGAAAGTTGTGTGCAACCTCTTTTTGTGTCCCTGCAGTTGGAGGCTTTGGAGGCTGTCTTTGCACAGACTCACTACCCGGACGTGTTCACCCGGGAGGAGCTGGCGATGAAAATCAACCTGACCGAGGCCAGGGTGCAGGTGAGCCGCATGTAGGCTGCCGTGTCCTGTCACCGGGCACAGTTTGACCAGGCTAGTGAGGGGAGGATAAATGAAGCCACTCTGTCATCCCAACGATACACTTTAATAACATCAACGTAATGGTGAATATTAGATTAGCTTGATTAATCGGTCATTCATAATTAAGCAGCGATAATGTTCGGCACTAATTTGTCCGCGTCTGCTGAGGCAGGAATCGTCATCATCCGTGCAGATCCGGTGACGCACACACGGTGTGTTTGTTTCTTTTCTCTTTTCTTTCTTTCTTTTTTTCCCTTTTTTTAAAAGAGCGGACAAAAAGTCAGATTCCCCACACACTCTCTCTCTCTCTCTCTGACTCTGTCCCACACTCACGACTTAAAATGTAACAATTGATATTCGGCTCCTGCCCTGCACATGTGCGCCGTTATAAACTTGGCCAGATGTAATTAAGTTAGGCGTCCTGTATGTAATTTCCCTGCATTCCAGATTTGCTTTTGGGTTTTGTTGTGCGCAGCAGATCTAATTGTAGGAAATATAATAGTTTGGCTTTTTGTTCCCCAGGGTCATCTTTACTATCGCTTAAACCCAATGGCGGGGCTTGATAATGGAATCCAGCGCTGTAAATTAGGGATTGTAAACAAATTATTCCCCCTCCTAATCCGATTACCGCATTCCTATTATTAAATCTGAACATGAATCCACCGCACTATGCAGGGGATATTAAACTTACATTATTATTAGAAAATAAATTTCCTTTCTCTTGTAGTGTTGTTGCCCCCCTCTCCTTTTTGTAAAGTGTCAATGGGCCCTCCCCCGCATTAAGAGCACGCAGCAAATTGAGATTAATGGAGCAATTATAGCCCATTCAGAGATGGGTGCGTGTGGGGGGGCGCGACTTCTAGCTGGAAGGTGCAGGGGTGAGATAAGTCCATTGGATGCATTGTTGTCCTGCCACGAAAATGTTGTCCCTTTCTCTACAGAATGAATGCATGCGTTTTGTTTGGCTGTTGACATCATTTATACCCTCCGCCACAATGGGGAGGATGCAGAGCGCATGCACGCAGACTCTAACCTCCATTCACACATCATGATTAATGCCTGCTAGAACCAAGTCCTAATCGAATCTGATGTTGTCAAACAATCACTAAATAGGGAAATAAACGACTTCATCATAGCTGCCTCTCTCTCGGGCAGCACAACTGTCAGTGGGAAGTCATTAAAATATGATAATGAAAAATTGCTCAATTAAATGTTGTTATAGGCACTGACCTTCAGTCGATTAAGATCCCAAGAACTTGGCTATATGTGTTCTTTGCTGTGTGGACTGTGAAGTTTTTGGGGATAAATTAGGGGGAGGTGGGGAATTAGAACACTTTGTGGGTTCAAATACCTGCTTCATACCAACTGAGCTCATCTGATTCAGCTTTTCTGATTACAAAACCTAATATTATATTCGACAGGGACAGGGCCGTCCCTAGACATAACGCAGCATGAGGGCACACAGTCATAATCGCATGTACGTCCAACCCCGTTTACTGAGGCATATGCCTCGTGATCAAATTTCTTCTAAAACTGCCATTAATAAACACTTGATGAAGTATTTTAATTGTAAAGCTACTTGTATTTTAAAATTAACTAGAAAAGTTAGGAAAAGTAAGGATTTGTTGTATACACGTGTCCAAACCTGGTCATGTAGAAGGTTTCCAACTATATGTATAGTAACTTTGGATGTGAAAATACTTTTACTAAAAGACCAACTAAAAAAAGACTAGAAAGTTGTGATCATATATTTAAAGAGACAGGCAGTCTAATGTTGTTCCCTTCTCTTTGTGTGTTGCCTAACAATGCTGTGCTATAAGCTTTTTTAAACTCTATGATGCCAGATGTATAATTTTTGATGCACACATTTATAAAAACTTCTATTTAACAAAACTGGTTCTTTAAAAAAAATGTAGTACTGACTCCAAAATGGCCACATAAACCCTCTAAGAAAGAGAGATTTTATAAATTACACAATCTTGCTTTTCTTATGGAGTAGATGAAACATATGTCAAAAATTGATTATTATTATTTAAATGACTCTTTAATACAGATATACATAACTTATTCTAACATCAAATATTTTCCTGAAAGCATCAACTGTTATTTTTTATGTATACAGGCATTTTTATTGGTCAAATATGTTTTTTTTTTTTTTGTTTGTCTGTTTACTTATTTTCAATGGATTTCTGCCATGAGCATTTTAGGACATGCAATTTTTTATTTTTTTGCCATCAGTTATGATGCAAAAAAGAGAATTTGGTGTGATATTTCAAATTCAAAATGTTTTTTTTTTTTATGATTCAGTCTTCATAATGTAAATTTCTCTTGTTTTAAATTTTTCAGGCTTCTTTCTTTACCTGCCAGTATTTGTCAGATAGATCTGGTTTTGTCCTTATTTGGTTAGATTTGGATCCAAATTATTTAGTTATTATTTTAAAATGAATATTAAGAATTTTCATCCAGAATCCCCCCCAAAAAAAAATAATTCTTTTTTTTGTTCCTCACAGTCGACGTCACACCTGCTGAAGACAGCAATGTCTCTCAGTGTCTTAAAGACAAATATAACATTGGAAGTCCCTAATATCTCCATCCTTTTTGAACTGAATTTGACTTTAAATGAATCTAAATCGAGAAATTGATGATTTTACAAACTGAACTAAAGTGCATATTTTTAGAGTTTCCTTCTTGCTTATCTGGATAAAGTCAAGCAGCATTTCTTTTAGTGATTTTGATGGAGAATGAATAATATTTTATCATACATTACATTATTGCTAATCAAATTTAAAGTAATCTATATGTTATTTTTTTCATCTATGTCTGAGATAATTATCTATTGCACTATATTAAAAAATATATATATTTCACCTGTGACATGCTAAGATAGTTTGCAGCAGAAAATCTTTACAAGCTAGATATTTATGCTCAGTCAATATGGATAGAAGCCTCAAAATGTCTCTAATGCATTAACATTTACTGGTTTCCAGGTTTGGTTTCAGAACCGCAGAGCAAAGTGGAGGAAAACAGAGCGAGGGGGCTCAGAACCTGAAGCTGGGAAGGAGCCGCTGAGCGATGGCACCCCTCCATCTCGCAGCATCAACTCTCAGTCTCCGGTGGACCATGGCAGGAAACAGAAAGAACCTCTGGAGTTACAGCAGAGGTAAAGGAAGGCAGACACAGAAATGTCGTGAAAAACGGCTGGAGATTTGTACTGGAAATTCATCAGAATAGGTATCTCTGATGGACCCTCACTGTATTCCTCTTTTTAAATTTTACTGTGAATTTGTTTATGTGTATATGTGATAGAACTAGTTTTTGCGACTACATGAAGCACTGTTAATAACATTTTCCCTATTATGGACAATAAATTATGCCTTGATGTTGTTGTACATTATTATAATAAGCATGTAATCGTCAATGAATCATTAAGGTGCAGTTTGTCTCTTGTCTCCAGCATCAACAGGACGGTGGGTCCAGGTGGTCCATTCTTCCCATCATGTATTCCAGGCACGCTCCTCAACTCTGCCACCTACGCCCAGGCCCTCTCGCATGTCGCTACGCTCAAAGGTGAACATGATTCTCATTACCCGTCTGATGATCCTGTTATTGCTTTTAGGGACTCGCTATGAATTTAACTTTCTTCTTCTTATTATTATTATTTTCCAGGGAATGGTTTGTGCTCCTGCTGCGTCTCTGACCCCATGGGCTTGTCCTTCCTGCCTCCCTACGGCTGTCAGGGAAACCGCACAGCCAGCGTCGCCGCCCTGCGCATGAAGGCCCGCGAGCATTCAGAGGCCGTGCTGCAGTCCGCCAACCTGCTCGGAGCCGCAGCCACACCAGGAGCCAGCGTGGGGGTCCTCTCCAGTGTGGGCTCGGCAGGGGTGGTCCGGCCCTCTGCGGGACCCGCCATCGAGGTGCCCGGCGGCGGCCTGAGAGGGGGAGACAGCTCCAGCCCTGGCACGGCTACTAAAGTCCCGATTCTGGGAGGCAGTCCTGACAAACATCCTCACTGCTCCAAGGAACCTCTGGAGAAGAAGTGAGGAGCTGGACACAAACGTGGATGTTGCTGATAATCTGTGATTTTTTTTTTTTTGTGCCTCCTTTCTTCTTTTTCTTTTCTGCTCCGAACTGAGCAACAAAGCACAACTACTGGCTGACTCCAGAAAAATCCTGGGACAGATGTTTTGTATGGATGCAAACAAATGTATTTATTTGATTGTAAAGTATCCTGCTGAGAAACGCTGAATAACTGGGTTGTTATTACGCTTGAAAAGACAAAACTTTGTTTTTTTTTTTACCTTTAGCCATCTACATGCACTCTTGGGCTATATTATCTATAACATAGATGCATTATGTGTGAAGCAGAGGCCTATTTGATAATGTGAATTTAAATAATCCTGTGGGGACCGTTGCTAACATTTTGAATGTCAGTGCATGAAGAGTGTATCATTTTATAAAGATAAAATGATGGTAGGACTGAGGATTTTTTTTAAGTCAGCAGTGACACAAAACAATGATTTCTATTGATTTTTTAATTAATTTAAAGTGAAAGTGCACTTTAGTAATAATCAGCTGTACTCCTTGTAAAAAAAAAAGAAAAAAAGAAAAAGTAATTGACATTGTCAGTGTGTGTATTCAGTTATCCCTTGCTCTCTGTTATCACATCTGTAGTGGCAGCAGACAGGGAACACACCAGTCCTGTTGTGACATGTTCTTTAAAACAATTAAAGATGTAGTCACTCATGTTCCTCTCCTGTTGCCTCTCGCTCCAGCCATCTGTTCTGATACATTATTTATGAGCCACTCTTAAAGCCGGGAGAGGACGCCTATCATTTATTTACTTTTAGGAACGCTCTCTGTTCCTGCTACTAAACATTTTTTAAAAATAAATTGCATCCATTTAAAAAAAAAAAAAAAAGTTTATTCTATTAATTATGTTTAATTTAAAATTTCTGTCCACACGTTTGTCGCCTTCTCCTTTTCCCCGTCTCTTGAATAACGGGGTCAAGCTGATCGGACTGATTATACTTAACTGCAGAGCACAACGGCCAGTAGTTTGCCTGATTCAATTTGCGTCCTTGAGGATTTCCAGGAAATTACTTTTGATAGTCGATAACACAATTAAGTAAACTACACACACATTATCGTGAATAATTGATGGGAAATTATGTATTACCATGAAGTACCGGTTCAATAATTGATGAGGAGACACCCCCACCCGTGACATGGTAGAGGAAGATAATGTCAGAAGTTCTACCAGATTGTACACAGAGCACGCACAATTCTCACTTCATTATTATTATTATTATTATTATTATTATTATAACTCCATTGTGTGTGCATGTTGTAAATATCTTACAGCTATAACAATAAAGTGATGCATTCATGTGCCGGTCTTTACGATTCGATAAGATTTTCATTTTACCGAAGCATCAAATAACCCAGAAATAATGCTTGATTAGTTTGAAAACAAAACTAAAGTTTTAAACACGAGATGCCTATCAGTGCATGTTTGGTTTCTGTCACAGGTACTTTACTGGATTCACTGAAAACATCTTGTTCTCACATAATGGTTTTGTTTTAAGTCAGTGGGAGAGCCACCGTGCTAAGCCGAGTGACATGGCAGCTAACGATAACACAATAAATCAGCTTCACTTCACAATGTGGCAGATTGGATAGCAGACCTCATACAAAAGCCACCAAAAAACGCATTCAATCTCCCCCAAAATTGACTACAGTAGCTGTGGAATTTAATCATTTGCCAAAACAAAGGAAGCTGGAGTCATAATGACTCCGATCATCATTAAGTTCTGCATGGTGCCCATAATTCACCGCTTTAATATTTCATAAACAAGTCAAGTTGGTTGTTGACATTCAGCTTGTGCATGTGGCATCATTGATAATTCTCCGTCACCTAAAAAAAAAAAAAAAAAAGTCCTGGGGATGTTTTGTCGAGCATTGTTATATCAAATTAGCTGGAGAGCGTCCAGAAAAGCAGACAAACACTGTGAATGCTGGGGGACAGCAGCTGAACTCTGTTCTTACATTGCAGTTAATGGGCTTCTTTTGTTGCGGTAATGAAATATTTCTTTTTTTTTTTTGTCCTGCAAAGAAGCAGTAAAATGTGCTCACGCAACCATCTGCATCTACAAACAGACGCCACACACTCGAGGAGACCCAGCAAATCTTTGCACAGAATTTAAAGTTAGACATAACTCCGTACTCGCAGTCAGGCCTGTTCCTCTGAAGGCCTAAAAATGGCCCACTAACACATCATCTCTGCTTTTAATTCCTGCAACAGAGCTGATCAATAACACAATCAATTAGAATCAGTGGAGTTCATGTCTGAATGGAGATTATACAAACAAAGCACATCTTAATGCAGCGAGTAATGTGCCTGTCTACTGTCTGCCACATAACCACAGCTCTCCCTTTCTCCTGACTCAGCCCAGAGAGGAGCATCATCAGCGTTTGTGATCAATGCTCGCAGGGCTCAGTGGCTTCTTACGAAAACTATTTAGAAAGGAGGATGCAGAACTGCAAGGTGCAATAACCTGACATGCTTTTTCAAAAAAGTATTTTCTGCAGTGTGAAATCTCTTCAGATGTGTGACTTTTTTCATCCACTAGAGGGACTCAGTGAGCAGGAATCCTGTCCGTACTTCATAGCGAATCTCGGGCTTCTCCAGGAAACCTGAATATTTAAACAGTTAGCAGGTTATTTCATAGATTTTTTTATTTGCTTTTTAACATTTGTAAAATTTGCATATCATAATATTAAGTGCTTTATAGAAAAAAAAGAAAAGGTAAAACAAATAATCATTAATGAAAAGTAATTTCTTAATTAGTTAGAAATGGACGTATCTGAGGAGAAGAGAGATTATTCTACTGTCTCAGCCTTTCCTCTTGCACTCTGAGCTTGTATGTGTGCTTGTGCATGCATACGTGAACAAGTGTGTCTCCATTAATGCCCATGTGTGTGTGTCCATCATCCCACTCGGGAAGCTCTGCAGCCGCCGCCAACAATCCCAGAGAGCAATCCGCTGCAGCGATCTCCTATTATAGCAGCGGGCGGTTGGAGAGGAGGAAGATGGGAGTGAAAGAGGGAGGTACAGTTCCTCCCCTTTCTGTGCCCTATATTTTTTTTTTTTTTTTTTTTATTGGGGTGAGGAAGGTTGTAGTCAGGGAGATCAGACAATAAATCTTTAATTGCAGTTGGCGGGGAGTTAGTGTGAAAACTAAATTATTGGAAGTGTTTCTTTAAAGCACGAAAAGCCAACTGGTTAAAATATATCCACAAACTGCAAAGTTATTCAGAAACCTTCACATTTGGTCTGAGTGCAACCAAAAGCTTCAGTGCTGCTCAGTTATTGAGATTTTAGATGATACATAGACCAACTAAAGTGGATTGATTATTATTTTTTTTTTTACAAATAAAACCCAAAGACTGTGGTGTGTATTTCATTTATTCACATTTAGTTTGATTAACCCAAACAAAGTCCAATGCAACCAGATGTCTTAAGAACAGAGGAATGTTAGGGAACATTAGTGAACAAAAAGCAACATAAAGAGCAAGAAACACATTACAGAGCTATAACTAAAAGTTTATTATGGACAGCTAAATTATTTGCTTAATATGCTTTATTAAGTGGCCAAAAGGAGGATGCAATTAATTCAGTTCAGTTTAGTTCAGTTTATTTGTACAGGACCAATTTATAAAACTGAAAAGTGCTACACTTTTCAGTTTTACTTGCTTGAAATTTCTAAAACATCCATGATTTTCCATCCGTCTCACCATCATGCGCTACTTTGTGTTTATCTGTCAAATTCTGTGTTGAGATTTGTTGTTGGCAATGTGAAAAGTTGTGCGAGGTGTGAATAATTTTGTCAAACAAAATCTCACCTTTCCTGTGATGTTGTTGTGAGTGGTGACTAACGGCCAGATGTTTGTAACCCATCCACTTCCTGTCTGCTCTGTTTGGTGAAGAGGATCACATTCTTTGAGCTATTTATGTCTCTGAATTACAACCCTCCTGGGGCAACCCTCACCTACCCTTCACCCATCAACACATCTTCAGAAAATGTAGTTTTTATCCCCTCGCCCTGTGTGTTCGCCTATTCAACCGTCTCACTGGCTTCCCCAGTTTATGCACAGTTAGCCGTCGCTGCTAATGGCCGACATAGCTGTCCAGATTTATAAATAGTTTAGAGGCTGTTTGTTTCATCCGTCTGAAACTCGACACCAAAGGATCTCACAGAGCCACATGCTAAGCTCAAGCCGTCATTCTATGGCCTCATGGTGGACACTCTCTCTGGGACAGCTCCTCTATTTTTGTCTGGTCTCTTGTCCTGACTTCCACTGCCTGCTGCTGGTCAGATCCTCAGAGATCTCACTGTGGACCTCAAACTGGATTTGGATTATTCTCAATAGAAAGAGCCTGGATCTCCCAGAGAGTGGATGTGTGAGGTGACAGTTCAGGATTAGATCGACAGGGCCTCCTTTTGGGGAGAGGGACAAAACAAGCAGAAAGGGACATAATAAACAATTCCCAAATTATGGATTATAAATCCGGAAGGTAAGATTATGGGTTTGCTGTGTATTGTTTCATATAAAAAAATCTAAAAAGCACATTAGAGAAATGTTGAATTGAGTAAAATCTGAGTTATAGAAATTTAAGTAAATGCAAATTAAAACAAACAAACAAAAAAACTATAAAATTATTTAATCCTAACCTCATCTGACTGATGTTTATTTTAACCTCCCTGCCTTTTAAAAGCATTTAGTCCATCCTGTTCTCAGAAGCTATGAAGCTGTTACAGTTCTCCATCGGACCAAAGCTGAAATTTACTCCTCTTTGGTGTCAGGTTTTAGAGCTGCAAGCTCGTCACTGGACAAAAATAAACCTGCCACATGCAAGAATGAAAAGAAATCATCTTGACAGCTAGAGGGGAGATTATTGCTGCATAAAAAACACGCAGTAAGGAAACTTGTCATAGCTCTGCATGATTTTATTTCATGTTTCATGAAGTGTGTGGATTTGGTTGCTAATATTGATGTGCTGTTGTTGGAAGGCAGTCTTATTTTTTTTGGACTGTTTTCTTAATTTAAAGTTAGCAGTAAAAAAGTTCAAGTCAAAACAAAAGTATTAATTTAAATGGTCGAAGGTTTAGTGCTGACTGAGCATGTGCGAAGATGTGCATGAAATGAAAGGCCTCCAGATCAGAGAATATTAATGATTCACGCCGGATATTCTGGGCAAAGTGACGTCTGGTTGGCAGTCACTTATTTAGGCGCATGATTGCACATGATAATACTAAGTTACCTCAAAATATATTAACTTTTTGTATAAAATTCAAGCATGATGTCTTTAAAGTGAGATTTCAAGAGAGGCAAATATAATACCAGTGATATGTTACTGTTATTATTATATATAGCCATCGTAAATATAGATGAGTGGAAACTGCAGGTTCAGTGAAGTAATGTGGATATAACAGTCAGCTTCACAGCTATAAATCTAAACTCAATAATCTTTGGCCGTGTAGTGTATAGTTAACATTTGTAAATCTAGATAATAATTTAATCATTAAAGAAATGACTTTATAGCACTCAATAACCTGATTAATTTCGTATTAAACATTTCTATGGCATCATTAAATGTCACATAAAACAATATTAGTTTTGTACTAAATTTATCTGAAGTTGTTCTCTAATCTTTCCTCTAATGCCTATTCTTTAAAATACTTCTGGTGCAGGAAAATTTACTTTCCATCTGCTCTCTCTGTAATAAACAGAATGACTTTTCCAAGATTAGGTTTAGGTAGGTCATACGTCACTGTTCCCAAACCATATATGTCTTTATAATTTCTTCCAAATTCTTGTTGTCAAAAGTAAATTAAACATTTGATTATATACAAGCTTCAAGTTATTGCCAAATCTGCATCCATATCTGTCTTTAGGTGTAATATCGACTTGTATGCTTGTGTTTGCGTGTGTAGGCGTGTGTGTGTGTGTGTGTGTGCCCTGTCAAACCTGCACTGATGCATCTTGATCACCCAAAATAACTCACGTGAGTCCATCTTGTCTGAGCCTAGCAACAGGCTGGTTTTCTTCACAACATGTCCGTGAAGGTCATAGTGACTGAGTGAAAGGATTTACAGAGCTGTTTTCAGAACCACATACAGTACATTGCTGCTTAGTTCAAACGGGAAAGAAAACCACTTATCATAAATAAAATGTTGCAATGACGGAGAATGAATTAGTTGTGACTCTGGCTGTCGGATAGGAAAACCTCTGCTTATTTTGAAGCCTCTGACTCGTGTTCTTCAGGATTTTCCTACATTTATCTCTACCCATCTTTCACCAGCTTCCACCTTCCCCCTGCATGATGCTGCCACCATTATGTTTAACATTAGGAGAAGTGTGTTCAGGGTGATGTGCAGGGTTAGCTTTGTGTCACACCAGCATTTTGATGTTTTATAGAATGTTTTACACAGATAGGTACTCCATTTTGATAATTAGGCGACTTTGGGAGGCAATGCAGTGATTTTGATGTAGATGCATAACAATTTATAGTAAACAAATACAAATGCACTTTAGATTTCCATTAGTAAAAAAAAGAGAGAAAACTGAATCATTTTCCTTGCAATTCACCATTATGTTCTTTATTTCTGTCAAATAAATTCTAAATAACCTAAATTGGTAACACTTTATTTGAAGGGGTGTGTATAAGACTGACATAACACCTGACATGAACATGAACAAGTCCTTATGAATGTCTGACTGTTGTCATGAAGTGTCATTCGGTAAATAATGACACTTTTAATGCAAAGTTGCTTCAAAAGTTGCATTAAAAGTCCATTAAAAGTGCCAACTTTGCATGATTTTGGAAATAATGACAATTTAATGCAACACTGACACTTTTAATGGACTTTCAATGCAACTTTTAGAGCAACTTTGCATTAAAAGTGTCATTATTTACCAAATGACACTTCATGACAACTGTCATAAACATTCATAAAGACTCGTTCATGTTTATGACAGTGTTATGTCAGTCTTATGCACACCCCTTCAAATAAAGTGTTACCCCTAAATTTTCATTATGTGACAAAAAGTGACAAATTTCAATAAGCCTGAATACATTTGAAAGGCACAAGAATTCAAGGTTTGCATCTCGTTTAAAACGCACCTTTCTTACGAATCAAAGCTCTGTTTTTTTGGAGTTAGTGGTTACATTATTGCGTCTGGCCTGATTCTCTTCTCTTTTGTTTCTTCCAGGAAAGCAGCAGATTGAAGGATCATTTGTGCAGAGCCAAACTGAACAAACAATGCCTCAGGAGAAAATCCTGAACAGAGGCCCCAAATTTCGGGTGCAGCAGTTATACCAGCAAAAACGGATTGAAACTTTAAGGTCCATATTTGCATGAATGACTGAACAACTAAAAAGCAATATTTTTTCTTGTAAGTCTGCGTCATGACCTCAGTTGAGAAGCGTCGCTCGAGCCGCAAGAGCGGTGGGCACAGGAAGCACAGCGATGGAGGCTTCAGCGACACGTCGAGTGGGGGCTCCTTCCTGGATGAGACTGATCGGGAGGTCAGCAATCTGACGGACAGAGCGTTCAGAAGCCTTTGTATTGGAGATGAGGCTGTTTATAATGACTCTGACCTCAGTTTATCTTCGCCTAGCACCTACTCAGACAGACAGCTGGCTTTCTGCAGATACAGAGAGGAGAGAGAAAGGGAGGACCGAAAGAGAGCTGCACAGGAGAATTTCAACCTCAGTGTGCAGCAATATGGACAGGACTGGATCACGGCAGAGATGTACGGAGCAGAGATCCAGAGAGAAGCTCAGTGGGAGGCTTATGGGGACAGGACACAGGGGATGGTTTCTGCCACATTCCAGCACTCCTTAGTGGAAACCTCACAGTTGGGCAAGTCTCTGAGGGAAGAGGAGCTGTCCTTCCACAGCAACGGAGCCACGGAGTTGAGTTCACAGCAACGCAGAAGCCACTCGAGAGTCTCGTCTCTCATCAGGGCGTTTAACTCTGACAGACACAGAGACGGAGCAGGAGCGGAAGATAACATCAGGGAGCGGGACGATGGGACGAGTTGGGACAAATCAGCTCTCATGAGTATTCAGAGAGAACTTTCTGAATTCTCATACCAGCAAAATTTCAACCATCACTTCCATCCTGCCGGGCCGTTTTCATGTCGAGACCCAAACTTCTATTCCTCTGAAGCAGAAGCAGTGGCCCAGATGTCTCACAGCTATATGAGGTCATCACAAACCAAACACATCATGTCTGCACAGGCCAACTGCAGCTCAAACTTCTTCATCCACAGTGAGTTCAGTCCTTTCCAGTTATGGAGAGATTACAACAGGTTTCCGTTTCGGCAAGCGGAAGTCTCAGGCTTTATGCATTACTCTGAGTTTCCGAAATGGTATCAGACGCCAATGTACAATGAACTTTCTCTTGAAAATCAAGCACACGGCCGTCACAGAGACATCAGACAATCTAGGAATCACCTGGAATATCAGGTTCCTCTGACGGCTCCACGCTCCATCTCAACTTCCTCTCAGATCCAGAGAGCGTCAGCTGTGGAGAAACGCTGCGAGTCAGAGCTGGCGGTTCATCAACCTCACAGGAAGTGGACACAGAGCCTGGGAACTAACAAACTTCCGCCCCACCGCCCGTCTACTGCGTCACCCTCTACTGAGATGTCTCGACGTGTCAGAGACACCATCGGCTCTGTCAAAGCTCTGCAGCAAAAGGTTAAAATGATGTCAGAGTATGACACATCTAATCAACAAGAAACATTCAGTAGGAATGAAAGTTGGTTTAACTCAGGAAAGAACACGTTGACAGCAGAGACGAACACTGTCGGCAGCAACAAAGCAAATTCCTTTAGAATTGGCCACCAACTCGCACCTTCTGTCCAACAACATCAGGATGTAGACACATCCCGCTTACACCAGCATGAAGTCTCCCCTCAACCAGTAGAGCATCCTCCAGTGAGAGCCGAAAGCCGAGGAGCAACTCCCGATGTCAGGATGTCCAGCTACAGATCTCGAGCCACAAGCCTGCTCTTCAACCTGAAAGACAACAGAAAAAGAGTAAAAAGCACCTACAGTCCAACCAAGTTCAAAGGCTTAGATACAGCGGAGAGGAACCAACAGCCCCATGGCCAGGAGCCACACGAAACTGCATTTACTAGTTCAGATGTTCAGTGTCTCCAGCCAGAAGCACCGAGAAGCACAAACGCTGCTATAAACCAGTATCACACCCCCGGACTATCACTTACTGCCCAGACGTCTCATCCCACTAGAGTAAACACAGGCCACTATTCAGAAACCACTGCAAATGATTACCAGGTTGCTCAGATGCAAAGCCATGGCTCTGGATTCAGTGGCTTTGTAACTTCAAATTACTCCAACAATCATCTGCTCGGAAATGGGCAGAATCCTAATAAATATTTTGCGTCATTTACTCCCTACAGGCAAGATATTTATGGATCTGCAGAAGAAGTCAAGCAGTCTTACTCAGCTGAAGACACAACAAGACTGAGTGTTGACAACAATCAACACAGAGAACATCCAACAGGCAAAGCAAATGCAACGCAAAGGGGAGTGTTTGTAAAGGTGGACAGATATGAGCAGCTCGAAGAAAACAAACACAATTACAAAAATGTGTCCTCCTCCCAGGATGACTGGAGACAAGCAAGCGTCCAAGATACAGAAAATATCCATCTCAAAACAAATGTTCCCCCAGTGAAACATGAGACAATGTCTTTGGTGGAATGCTTAAAGCAAGAAAATTTGCATGGTGGAGAAAAAGAACAAGTAAAGGATACTAATTTAGAACAGAATTATAACAGATTTACCAATCAGTACGGTAGAGGCCAACAAAATCTTACATCAGACAAAACAATGGACATGATAACAACAGGTCAGACTAAATTAAATATATCCACTCCAAATGAAAACATACAAACTAACCCTCAGTTTGAAAAGAAAAATCAGCCAAATCCAAAATTTATTGAAGAAAATGCATCAACCATCGCAATGACAAATCAGGTAAAGAACATGCAGACTGTAGACACCAAATGTGAACAGGTGATGGCATCCCACAGGAAACCACAATATCCCCAAGCAGAAATGGCCAAAACCCAACAGAAAGCTCATGCTGAGCCACCAAAAACAGAAATAGCAAAGTTTATTTTGTCAAGGCAACCTGCATTTGAAACTGTCAAAATGCAAGAGCTGCACAATATAAGACAAGTCAAAGATGATCATATAATTAAAGTGGAAGGGAGGAAAAATGAGCAAAAAGAAAAGTCAAGAGACACATACTTTCAGCAGGAAGAAGAGAAACAGATGAAGGGTGAAAAAGAAAGGGTTTTGAAGCTAACAGACGAGCCAACAAATGTCACAGAAAAAGTCCCTAAGAAGCTCAAAACAGAACAAGCTGAGAAGGAGAAGCTAAAAGAGGAACACATAAAACCCGAACTGGCAAAGACCGAGGCGCCTGAGCAGGTCAGAATAGACCAAGTTAAACATGAACAGGCCAATGGCGTGCAAGCTGGGGAAAAACAGGAGAGCACAGAAAAAGCAGAGGGAGAGCAGATGGATGCAGAGAAAATCAATATGGAAAAGGTTAAAGAAGAACAGATCAGAGGTGAACAAAGAGAGCAGATAAAAGAGCTGCAAACTAAAACAATAGAAGTGAAGAGAATGGGAATGGAGGTGTTGGAGGTCAAAACAGACCACATGAAAGTGGAGGATGTCAGGGAAGGTAGGGATGAGAAAGATTCAAGTCATGCATGTCAAATTAATTTAGAGGAGGCCACATCAGGTACACGTAGCGCCGAAGACACGCGAGGAGAAAAGACAAAGCTGGAAGAAAACCTGGAGCAAAAGGAATCTAAGCAATCGAAAACAGAAAACCTGCTGGAGAGGTCAGCTAAACTCACAGCCAAGGTTGCAGCAACACAGCAGGCCAGACAGGAACCGGACAGAGTCGAACAAGTTAAGACAGAATTAGCGAAAGCGAAAGCAGAGTTAGCTAAAATAAAGGAGAAAATAAGAGGAGAGCAAACGGAAAAAGTGAGAAACATTCTTTTCACCAAAGAAGGTCTTTTAAAGAATGACAATTCTAATACTGGCGAAAACGCCTGCAACAAAAACCAGAACCACCCACTGGAAACACAAACTCATGCAGTGACTGATGATTATGAAAGGCTTAGGGAAAAATATGGTTTTACACATCCAACATCTGCAAACAGCACCAAAGTGTCAGCTGCAGAACATAACGAACAAGCCAAAGAAAACCAAGTTGAAATAGGAAATAATGTGTTAGCAATTGACAGACCTTGTGTTGGTGACTCGTTTTTGACACCAGAGACAGAGAATAAGGAGAGAGGTAGGAACTTTAAATACAGTAATGAGACAGTACAGGAGAGTGATTGCAATGAGCCATTAAATAAACCACAATTAGGTAGCTGTCATTCTCTTCTAACAAATTCATGCGATAAAACAAACAGAGAAAATTTATCTGAGAAACTGAAGGACAACAGTGGTCAGAAATCAGAAAAAATTGATATTATTAAAGGCACAGTTTCCCTGCAGAAAGACTCTGTTTCAGCTAAACATGAAAGAAAGTCAACTGATCAGCGGATTAACGCAGGCAAAGACATGGCTGTTGCTCCACTTAGAGCTTTGTCTCAAAGGGAGAAAGCTCAAACTAAGCAGGAAATACTGACTTCCAAAATAAAAGCACATGCTGAAAAAGAGATTTCCGCAATAAAAGAAAAGGGATTTGCTTTACCAGAAGGCTTTATAGGCAAAAGCTCGGCCATGTTGTTAGCAAGTGGTCAGAGTGTTAATATTCGACAGACGCCCTCATCACAGGAAGTGCCTAAGAAGCACGAAACCACAGTGTCCAATAAAATCACAGCAAAGCATCAGCTGGAGCCTTCAGGAGTGCAAAAAGAACCAGGCAAGTCTGCTTCATCTCTGAGTTCTGATACAGTGGGTGGTGAAGCAGCAGTCGATCATTCAGAAAAATCCACAAAAACAATCCTCCCCACAGGCACCTCTGTGAGCACAACTGACATCTGTGTGCAAAACGAACAAAAGGAAGCAAATCACACAGAAACATCTGGAAGACTGAGCGGGGAAACGCAACAAGTGGAAAATGATGAAACTCTCACCAAAATGAAAGACCTGGCACACGCCACGGGTATGTCCAAACCTGTGACAGCAGAGGCCGCTAAAGAAGAAGCTCATAAAGACTCAGAATCAGAAGACTGCGTGACTCAAAATGAAACCTCTGTAAGAGATGACAGTGTGCTGATTATGGGGATTATGGTAACTGTAGTAGAAAGAAATCCAGCAGTCAATAGTGGCCCGCAGAATAACAACAGTGAAAAACAGACCAATTCAGGAAAGTCATCAGATTCAGGCTCAGAGAATTCCAGCCAAGAAGAAGCAGAAATATTAGTGAAGACAAGGGACTCTAAAGAGAGTCCCTGTGTTATGAAAGAAAATGAAGATTCTCTTGGTAAGAATAACTTTTCAGATAATGTGAAAGAAACTTTAAACTGGAAAGAAATTAACAGAGAAATATCAGCTGAAAATGCAGATCTCCATCTCAACGATTATGCCACTAATGCAGAACTACAGAAGAAGAGACAACCAGAAGCCGGGTCTGTGCCTTCTAAAGACAAATTCTTTGCCAAAATTCAACCGGTTCTCCACCAAATGGACACAACTCTAGAAGACACAAATGATGTAAGTGATAACATGCCAAAGGAAAATGTGTCAGAAACCTCTGGCCATCCAGCGGCAGGAGAAGACGGAAGTCAACATGAAAAGCCTCTCGTCAATGAAATATCTCAAGATAAAGCCAATAAAGCCAAAAACGATCTGCCAATGAAAGACGACACGACAACAGTTAGAAATATTTCCGAAAGCAGTAACAATGATGGGCAGCGCTCACCTGTACCAGAAGACAACACCTGCTCCTATACTCCACCAAGCCCCTTCAATGATTCATGCACAGATAACACTGGGATTGTGTCTCAAAACCAGCAATCCACTGAAACATTCAGTAAAGAACACGACCAAGAAGATACTGGTGTGCATATTGAAAACATTGCCATCAGAGTTGTGCCAACTGAACGTAAAACAGACAACGTGGACATGTTGGAAAAATGTGACATGGAAGCTGTTCCTCCGAATGTTGGGTCTGCCTCTGTGCAGAGTCAGGTTGTCCCATCCTGCAGTGAAGGAAAACCACAGAATTCAAATCATGGACATCATTTTGAAAACTCGACTCAAGAAAACAGTGAGCAGAAGATGAAAGACCGTCTGGAAGAAAAATTAGCTGTACAGTATGTATTATCCAGTGTCAAGAAACTGTCTGACTCATTGAAGGCAAGTGAGAAACAGAGCAATGCAAATACAACCAGGGAATCCATTACAGCTGGAGACAAAAAGTCAGAATCTAGTGTACAGCTGGTGGAAGCAGATTATTTTCAAGTGCAAGGACCAGCGGAGACAAGCAACACGTCTCCTAACGATATCACAGCTGGAAATGATTCAAAGGGAAAGGGCGTCCTAAAGTTACTACCAAACGAGACATTTATTGGCACTGAACTACACAAGAAACAACAAAGTGATGTCTTTGTGTTCACTGTGGATCCAAGTGAACGAAAGACAGATCAGTCAAGTTCAGAAATTATTGAAGGTGAGAACTTGACAGGTAAAAATTTGGAAACTGGCGATAATACAGTTACTTCAAAAGAGCCTGGTGGTTCCATGGAGAGTTGGAATAAAATAAAAAATTTGGATGCAAGCCAATCTAATCCCACCAGAACATATAATGAGGTGAACCAGTTGGAGCCCTGTGCAACGGAAAGACAGAATTCGGGTAATCAAAATTTAACAAGCGCACATTCTGAAGCTAAGCCAAATCCAAGAGAACGAGTGTCTGCAATACCGGAAATATCAGCTATTGCAGACTATGCCAGATTAAAGGTGATAGTTTCAGGGGATAAAGAAGAGCAGCCACTTCAGCAATTCCCTCCCAACAAAAAGGAAGGGTTCTTCCCGCTAATACAGACCCGTCATAGCAGACGCCCTGTGTTTACTGATGACCCACCAGACCGCTCTGTTAAAACCCAAAGCTTACCAAATAAGACAGAGATAACAGCCACAGTCAACAAAGAGTCCAAGTCGCTAGTATTTCCTATCATGGAGAGGGAACACCAAAGAACTGGGATGTTCAAACTTGGAGACAAAGAAAGACAAGAAAAAACACCTCTGAATGCCCAAATGACTCTCTATATAGACAAAGATCCAAATCAGATCGATACAAAGAAGTCCCCCACACATAAGGCAGAATTAGTGGCTCAAGCAGCAGAGGAGCATCAATGGAGGACAGCAGAAGAAGAGCAACAGATGAAAGTTCCTCATGAGATACAACGGAGAGGAGCAGTGGAGGAGCAGTACAGGAGGACTGCAAAACAAGCTCAACAAAGGATTGCAGAAAAAGAGCAACAGATGAAGGCTCTACATGAAAAACAACAGAGAAGAGTAGCAGAGGAGCAGCGGAGGAGGACTGAGGAAGCAGAGCAAAAAAGGAAAGCTACATATGAAGAACAACAGAGAAAAGCAGCAGAGGAACAGCAAAGAAAGGCTGCACAACTGGAGCAGAAAAGAAGGATTGAAGAAGAAGAGCACCAGAGGAAGGCTCTACATGAAGAACAACAAAGAAGAATAGTGGAAGAGCAGCAAAGGAGAATTGAGGAAGAGGAGCAAAGAAGGAAAGCTGCATATGAAGAACAACAGAGAAAAGCAGCAGAGGAGCAGCGAACAAAGGCTGCACAACTGGAGCAGAAAAGAAGGATTGAAGAAGAAGAGCAACAGAGGAAGGCTCTACATGAAGAACAGAGAAGATTGGCAGAGGAGCAGCAAAAGAGGACTGAGGAAGAGGAGCAAAGAAGGAAAGCTGCATATGAAGAACAACAGAGAAAAACAGCAGAGGAACAGCAAAGGAGGATCACAGAGGAGGAACAAAGAAAGATGGCTCCTCATGAAGAACAACAGAGAAGAGAGGCAAAGGAGCAGCAAAGAATGGCTGCACAACTGGAGCAACAAAGAAGGACTGCAGAGGAGCAACAGAGGAAAGCTGTTCATGAAGAACAACAGAGAAGAGCAGCAGAGAGGCAACAATTGAGGGCTTCACAATTTGAGCAACAAATGAGGACTGCAGAAGAAGAGCAGCAGAGGATAGCTTCTCATGAAAAACAACACAAAGGGGCAGCAGAAGAGCAGCAAAAGAGAGCTGCACAAATTGATCTTCATAGGAGGACTGCTGAAGAAGAGCCAAGAAGACAAGATGCACACAAAGAACAACAAAGAAGAGAAGCAGAAGCACAGCAAAGGAGGATTGCAAAAGAGGAGCAACAGACAAAAGTTTTACATGAACAACAGAGTTTAGCTGTTGAAGAGCAGCTGAGGAGAGCTGGACAATTGGAGCAAACAAGAAGGCTCAGAGAAGGCCCACAAATGAGAAAAGCGGCACAAGAAGAGCAGGAGAGGAGAACCGTACAAGAACAAAAAAGAGAAGCAGAACAGCAACAAAAGAGAGCACCTCAAAGTCCAAATGACCAACAAAGGAAAGCAATAGAACTGAATCAAAGAAGAGATTCACAATTGGAACAGAGAGAAAAAGGACATGAAAAACAAAGACAAACTGTCCAACAGGACAAACAAAGAAGAGAGGTAGAGGAGCAACAAAGGAGACTTTCTCAAGAGGACAAGCAAATGATCCTTTCAGCAGAAGAACAAAAGAGAGGAGAGTTAGATGAGCAGGAAAGAAAAGCAAAACATGAGGAGCAACAGAGGAGAGTTGCACAGAAGGAGCAACAACAAAGTGACGTGGAAGAGCACCGGAAAAGGCTTGCACAAGAAAAGCAGCAAAGGATAGCGTCTCTGATTGAGGAGCAAAGGCAAGTTAAACAAGTAAAAGAGCAGACAGTTAGCAATACCGAAAAAGAAACAAAAGGAAAAGCAAGAGAAGGAATAAATGCTTTCATTTCAGAGAAGGAAAATGTCAAACAGACACAAGAACTTAGAATCCAACAACGGAATGAAGTGCCAATGAATGAAAGTCTTGTGGAAGAGAAGAAAACTGCATCAAGGAAAATGTTGAAAAACGAGAACATAGCTGCTGAGAAGGAAGAAATCATGGGAGAACAGAGAACAGAAAAACATTTCAAACAGGAGAATGCTAAAGAATCGACACCAACTAAAACAGATAATGATAGTCAAGCTAACAAGATGGAAGATGATGAGCAGTTATCATCTCTCAAAGTAAAAGCAAGAGACCGTCAAGAGATGGACAAAGAAACAGCGCAGAAGACGGATGCTCTCCAGTATTTTGCAATCACCTCAACCAACAGAGAGACAAGATCCAGAGAAAAACAGTTGTCCTCCGCTTCACCTTTACAACAACAAAATAAGAAACAAGGGGAACTTGAATCACCCAATGACTTGTTGTACCAGAGACATTACAGACCTCATGCCGCTGCATCTCCAGCTCCAACTCTGCCCCGCTCCAACACCTCCTCTCCTGCGCCAGGAGCCAAGCCCTTGATGTTCAGAGTAAAGGACAACACCATCAGAGGTTCCTCTCTCACAAAGTCCGTCAAGCCACGCTTCCATAAGAACTTTGGAGAGGACTTCTTAATGGGTTCAACATTCGACGGGGCATCAGACAAAGCAGAGGATGACCAGGAGATAATCAGACGAAATGCAGGGACCCCATTAAGTCGTTTTGCTGCTATCAGCGAGTCTGCAGCTCTCTTCTCGCCGTCTTCATTACAAGATTACTCAAGCACTACCCCTCAACTGAGACCCTATTCTAGGAGGAGCATGGCAACGGATGATGATGAATCTCGCTCTGTCATCAGCAGCATGTCAGAGGATGTGGAGAGCTTTGCGACGAGTGCCTCAGATCTGACCGAAATGCATGGCCCGTTTGATTTTGACAGACCCGAATCGGCATGCAGTTTCAGCAGTGATGTGTCGCGGTCTCTGGGCAAACCTCCAGCTGTTCCACCAAAAAGTGAAAAAGCCTTACGGAGAGCTCAAAGGTTAACCTCTCGAAGGATGAAGAAAGAACTTTCCAAGGCTGCAGAAGGAAACCCTGTGGGAGTTGGGAAAGAGGTCTCCAGTTTTCCTTCTTCATCATCCTCCTCCAATGAGGTATGCTCCTCCAATCACCATGCTGTGGCTTCCCCCCATTTTTCTCCACCTGTTGCCTTTGCTCTTGCTCCGGCTACTGGATCCAGCTTGCCTTCCTCTCATAAAGATCGCAAATCCTCTCATCGCTCTTTTCATGCTTCTCCTCATGCCACCGGCCCCATTTCTATCCCCAGTCCTTCGCCTCATGCTGGTTCTGCTGTGCCTCTTCATGCTTCTAGCCCTGCTTCCAAAGCCGCAGCTCTTCAAACAGTTGCTCATGTATCCTCTTCTCCCACTCTCCATCATGTCAATCACCCAGCCACTCCTGTGACACAATACCATGTAGAGTCAACCAACTATCCATTGACTCAGCGGAAGGTTCTGCAGGATCTGGGATCTGGTCAGTTCTTTGTCGTAGACGTGCCTGTTCAAGTAAAAACGAAAACTTTCTTTGATCCTGAGACAGGAAAATATGTTCAGCTGAACGTGCGCCAGACTGGTCAGAATATTTCTCAGCCTCAGCTTCAACAAAAATACCAACAGCCTCAAGTTAAACAACAACTGCAAGTCAAGCAGCAGCCACAGTCCCTCTCCTCTGTCACCACGGTTGCTAGTAAACCTTTTAGATTTTATCAAGGCTACCACAGTTCTCCCCAAAACTACCAGGCAGCTGTTGTCAACTCTATGCATGAAAGCAGCTCATCAGTCCCAGCAGCTCTACACCAAAGCCAGCAGGCCTCAAGAGAAAACCACAGCTGCAGAACTCCCGTTCCTGAAATTGATCAGAACTCCGAGGGCCATCGCTACAGTCCAGAGAAAACACCATACATGGACACAGTCAATGACATCACCAAGACATACAATTTGGTGAACAGCACACGGGACTCATGCAACCCTTTTCCAGAGTGCGACACAAACAGCCCGCTTGGCAGAAGTTCAGTTTGTGAAAACGAATACTCAGCTAACTTGGAGTATCAGCCTCGTGACATTATTGCCATAAGTGAATTAGAAGATTTCATGGAGGTGTCTGACTGGTGAGAAAATAGACTGACATAAAAGTAAAGAAGTTTTTCCTGAAATTATAACACCTGAAACATGCAGTGTATAAATGATGCCATATAAAGTTTAAGTAACTTGTCATCTGAAACAAATTTTCTTTTTGATTGTATAGGTCACTGTGACATGCTCTTATACTGCTGCTGATGTCTTTTTTCACAGATTAACTGTTTTATTTTGTATTTGTATTCTATATTTATTGTTACCATTCCAGTTGACTTTGAATGTCAGAAGCTAACATATCTCCCCGTGTTAACAGTGACATCTGTATCTCATTTCCTGGTATGGTGAACATACCTTACATAAACAAATTACAAACTGCCCCATCATAAAGTGCTTGATCCTTTATGGAAGAATATGCATTTATTTTGCATTATAAACAATGGCTGGTCTGTTTTACCTTTCATGTTGTGAAAGCCTTGCAATGCATGAAATAACTCTTCAAAGTCAATGATCTTCAAATGGTATACAACATAGTTTGTCTATGCAGCAAGAGTGTCAAAACGAACATGGTCACATGGAAGTGATACGACTTGTTGTTTTAAAGTTATACGGTACTCTGTTTTATAAGACGGATGTTTCTAGGAGTGCTTTTGTGTTGCTGTGAATGTAGCATGACATGGACTTTTTCAGACAACAAAAACACATTTAACACAGATATTTCCAACCATGTGATTGTTATTTTTTTTTCTTTTGAGGATTACAAATAAAACAAGATTTCTGAAAGATTTCACAACAGGTTCTTTTTATTTTAACAATGCTTTAAAATGGGGGAAGACTGCATTCTTAAAGCTTGTTTCTTTGGATGTTGAGAAGGTGAATTAAATGGGTGGGGATTTGGGTAGGGTTTAGGTGGAGCTGTGGACTGCCTTGAGTTGGGCAGCCAACTCAAGGCATGTTCAGATACACTGTTGAAAACAAGAATCTGGGTGCACCTGCTGGGGTCTGCTAGTCCAGCGGTTTCCTGGGTCATATAGGCTGTTGGTGGGAAGCTCTTTAGGCCCAGGTTCACTCCTTCCATCTCAAGGAAACCACTTTGTGGGAGTTCTTTTATGTGGGGTGCCTTACAATGGCCTCTACTTTGGTAATTTGAGCCAAGGTGAGATACGTCTAGTTGGTGTGATATAGTTGTGTGGGGTATTTAGGCCTCATTACCAAGTGGTTGGTTCCTGGCAGATGGCCTATGGCTCTACAGAGCCGGGCTCAGGTGGGAATCCATTCCTCTTGACTTTCGTGGGGTTACCTCACTGGGCCCAATGGCACTGTGTCCTCCCTCCACTGGTAAACCTGTTACCTGCTGATGCCAGCAGGTAACAGTTAAGCTGACCACAAAACTCTATGTAACACAAGCATAAAACGAATAATGGTGTAAGAATCCTCATAACCCTGTGTTAAACTGGCAACATGTCCAGAGTTTAATCAGGCTTTGGTCCATTACTGGGATGACAGATTAAAATGGTCCAGAACTAATGGTGAACAATTGTTTTGAAATATGTTCCTCAAGATTAAACATACATAATTTGTTAATTTTATAATTTATGGGGCATACCATAATACTATTAGATAGCTTACAAGAAACACATTACAGGCAGGAAATTCTGATAACCCACGTTGCAATGTTTCCCACCCCAGTTTTCCTCCTCCTCACACTTTGATTTGAATCCAGACTGTGGGAGTATAAAAATATCCAAACACTCATGGGAGGAGCAACCTCAGAACAGAACAATAAAGTACTTATTGTACTGAACAACCTTCAGATAGACACTGTTGAAAACAGATTTTTTTTTTTTCCATATTGAAAAATGTATTTCTTAAGATTTCCAACCAGTTCAAAATAAGGCAAACATGAGAACTAATTTTACAAGTAATTCTGGGTAAAAGCACAGATTTTTATAGTCTTTGATTGCACATTGCATAATGTTTAACAAATAGAAAACCTGTAATCGTTTTGCACTTAATTGATGTGTTGATGATTCCCTAAGAAGCAGTAACCAATTTTGACCACTATGTGGCAGAGCAGAGCGAGCCCCTCTCTTGAATTTGGGACACAGGAGAAGGAAAACATGAGGGAAATCCCAAATGAAGTATCATTTTAGCACATGTAAACACAACCTTTAATTCATAAAACCTGTGATAGACAGCCTAAGTTTAAACTGCAGAAACACTTCAGTTTGCATGTCCTGAGTTTTAAAAGAAGTTATCAAGGTGAGAGGGAATTAAATCGTTCTAGGAACACAGCCAGCACACTTTCCACTGATTCCATGGTTTTCATAGAAATCCTACACACTGGTTGAAGGGTTAAATGTGTTGTGTAATTTCATTTGGCTTTGGCAGAGCTGAAAGCAGCCAGTAGAAGCCCTGCCTCAGCAGTTTAGCCTGCCCAATAAAGCAGCAGGCTTCATACCACTGGGACAGTCTGACAACCGCAGCCAGAGACAAGCCCATGCCACTCCGTCCAGCAGCCGGAGACACAGAGACGTCCCGCATCTTGTGTGTGTGCACGAACAGAAAACAACGGAAAGAAAACATATCATGTTCTGATGATCATAAACATGAATATGCATCTTGAGGGCAAACCCTCAAGATGAGATACAGCCGTCATCTCTAGGTTCAGGGGTGTTGGGCCCTGATCCAACACCCACTCTCAGGAACACAGGAAATGACATTTCCTACGTTTAGCAGGACACAGAGGGAAAAGACAGAGAGAGGTTGACGGAGACAGCTTAGAGGGGAGAGCGAGGGAGAGAGTGGGAGTTTCTAAGTGGGAACAGAGCTTTTTCTGTTTCATATTACAGAGAAAAGAGGAGAAAGAGGAGAGGAGTTAATGGTGGGTAAGGGCTCTGGTGGTTTGTGCAGCCAGCCTCCGTTTTGAATGTAGCTGCTTTTGAAAGTGCTGTGCAGTTGTCTAGGTTTATGGATTCGCTGACTGTGGAAAATGTATTTCTCTATAGTGGTCCTTGTCCTGACTAAGACTCTGGTCACAGGTAAGTTTACTTTGTTTGCAGCAATGAAGCTCAGCAGAATAGAAAGAATGGGGCGAAACAGAGTAGCAATTGGTGCACACAGTAACATGTAAAACATACATTTGTTTACTTTTAGTATGAATACCTTATTTTTATGAAAGAAGCACAGGAAAAAAACGTGCATGTGTTTTAATTGGGGGGGGGTTTGCATGCATTTAAAGTGATTCTTGTAAGACTTATGTTTCTCCTGGTTTTTGACAACAAATCAAGACAGTCATAAATCGCATGTATAATTCACACAGATTGACAACGTCTGCATGACTTGACCCAGATTTTTTTAATTGACTGGGCTGCCTCTTGGCCCAGTCAAGAAAGAGGTGAAAATGTGTTACACATGGAAAGGTAATTCTTATTTAGCTAAATGTTTTAGACTTATGAAAATTTTGGTTTCTATGATCAATCACACATTTTGCACTAATGCTGAGGAGTCAGCTTTTTCCAGAAGCTTGAACTGCACATGAATACATCCTAGAAACTTTTTCTGCTTGTGATGTTGCATTATATAATGTTGGTTGGACCTAACCTGGGGCAGATTCCCAACTGACATAACAAGAACGACAATAAAAAAGCAGCAGCAGATGTTCCCAGTTATCCCGTCTGCAAGGATTACTGCGCAGAGGATCAATGTTTCCCACCTGTAGCATATCTTTGCCTGTCTAATCACACTTATAGACTCATATTCTGTGTCAGACACACGTTACTCTGCTTCCATCAGAAGAAATCAAAAATGAGCAGAAAAAAACAAAAAAAAACAGTTGTGCAGAACGTATGATTTGTTGATTTCCCTATTGACCAGAATTGCTTTTTACCAGTACAGGCAAAATTCCCTTCTGGTGATGGAAGACACATACAAGTAGAACCAGTCATACTTTATGCTTTTGACAGCATAAATCCTACAAGCCACTGTGGGTGTGTTTACAAGCTTAGTTTGTGTAAATGCTACAATTAACTGTAACTGTCAGGGAATACATTGTTATAAAAATGATCTCAGACCATTCCAAGGGGGGGGACATTTTCAACTCCTGTAATTTACTAATTGAAAAAAAGCAAAAATGAGTCACGCAAGTCGAGTCGTTCAGTGACTGTCTGACAAACTATGGAAAAGGAATGTGTTTTTGAACACTGTAATTTTTTTATTAAGAGTTTAAGAAACAAAACATAAATTTAAGTGATACATGAGGAAAGAATTCAACTTTAATGAAACTTCTCCATAATGTCTCAACATTTTTAAAGTTTTTCTCTGGACTTCTCATTTTGAGATGTTATCAAGAGAGTGAGGCTATAACACAACATCCTCAAAATATACATTTTTGGCTGACAATCTTCACATCATGGATGCAGCCAAATACAGAAAAATCCTGAAAAAGTAAACTGTTGGAGGCTGTAAAAAAACTTTAGACTGTGGCAGAAGTTCACCTTTCAGAATATTAAATAATCTAAAACATGCAGCCATAGCTGCAGTAGATTAGATTACATCTTCATTACATATTCATATGCCGAAATGGCCCAGTCAAAGTCCAGGCCTTAATCCAATTACAATCTGTGGCAAGACTTGAAAAGATATTTTTCCAGATGTTTTCCATCAAGTCTGTCTCACTTTGGTCTACCTTGCTAAGAAGAATGGCCAAAAATGTCTGTGTGTGAATGTGTGAATACAAATACACTCGTATTTCTGAATTTTTACTTAGACATTTTATAAACCAACGATAATTTTCCTGTTGTATGCAGTGTTACAAGCTTTGAATGATCTGTTTATGTGAACTCCAGTCTGTTTTTTGCCAACAGAAGTATGTCACACCCTGAACGTGACGGTCACCCCTGGGCCTTTGGTCTTAGTCGCAGAGAGACACAACTTGACTTTGTCCTGTCTGGTGTCTGAAAAAAAGTGGAGCAACAGTGTCCTCATTCTCCGCTGGTTCTTCTTGCCTTTCACTCCGCCAACTCCCAGACCTCCTCCTTTACCGACCACTTCTCCAACTGCACTCCCACCCTCCCAGTTTCTGATTGTAAGGATAGGGATCAAGAAGATGCAGCAGTATGGGAACTACAGCCGTCGCTTCCCCCAGCCAAAGTTTCACTTATTTGACGACGCGGGGGGAGAAGTGTACCGGTTGCTCATCATCAATGTCACAGGGACGGATCAGGGCTTTTATAGCTGTAGAGTTCAGGAGATCCGAAAATACAAAACCACATGGAGAGCCTCGTCCAATGGCTCCAGCACCACACAGCTGACAGGTAACTGAAAAATACATTTCAGCCTCTTTTTCCTCTACAGCTTAAACTTGGTTTGCATAGTCAAAAAAACAAACAAACAAAAAAAAAAAAACAAAAGACAAATGTGACTGCTTTCCAGTTGAAAAAAAGAAAAACACACACAGTTACAGCTTGGAATCTAAGGGAGCATCAAAATTTACAATTAATTGTATTGTAAATTGTGGCTTTGCATCTTTTGTTTTATAGGATTTTTTTTGTAAATACATGAAAGAAAATGACATTTTTATATGTATTCATCATATGATGATAATTTCTTGCCACTCTATGCCAATGTCAGTAGATGTCTCTCCTGATGTTCATTATCTTTGTGAAATCCAGTGTCCGGGTGACTGAAGCTAATAACTAGTTGGAAAGGAAACGGCATAAAAACACCATAAACTTAAAAAAAGGGGATTTTATTTAAA